ACAGGGAGACCGGCATGCGCACAGGAGTTACCCCGTGCGGATGCACAGTCGAGCCCCGTTCCCCGACAGAAGAGACCAGGGAAGGACCAGCGTTCCACGGGGGTCTGGCAATAGAGAGGGAGGGGAGTGGTGTAGTCGAGGGACGACACATGCTCCCATCCGCACCCTCAGAGACAGAGAGGAATGAGCGGGGCGACGCACTGGGACGTCGTGCGCGCTCATTCCAGTCTGTGTGCTCAATGATAGTGTAATGATTAAGGAAACGAGTGGGATTAATACGCACGCCCCTTAATCAGAATGAATGGAAGCGTCTAATTAAATGAATGTGTACAGCTGATATGGGAGGAGTCGAGGTCTATTTAAGGGATGGTTTTGGAGTATTGCGAGAGGAGGTCCGGGGGAGCTCACACTTGTGGGAAACGCTAGACGGCCGCTCGGGATAATTAGTGTCTCCGGCGGTGAAGATAGGCAGCTAGTGGGGGGTGATTGTGCTAGGTAGTTAGGGTTTTGAATATGATCCAGGATAGGGGAGCTCCTGACCGATGTGACAACTCAAGTGCTGCGCCTACCAAAGTGTCTCAACCTCCTCACTGAATGTGGACTGCTTCGATCGCGGTCGATTAAGTGTGCGCCTGGTAAAGCGTTCTCATCCTCATCGGACGTGGACTGATCTGACTTCGGGCTAATAGGCCGGCCTACAACCTAAATCAGGGGGGTAACGTGTTTTAACAGATGAAGTTGTATTTTAGCACTTAATAAAGAGTTGTGTGCGTAATTGCCATCTGTGTGCTGGTCTCTGCCTTCTTTGAAGTTCGTGCGGTTGTTACAATAGTGTCAGTTTTTCTTCAACCAGCTCAAGGCGGTTGAAGGAGGAGCTAGCTAGAACAAAAGATTCTCCACCGGCCCTCCACCGGGGGAAGGAGGGGCCCTGCTACCGCCTCCTGTGAAAAACCGTGACACTATCACTGAGCAGCCCGTCTCAGGAACATCGCTTCGCCTGGCGTTAGTGGGGCACGCGGCCTGAGGGGGCTGTGATGCTTACCTGTGGCCTCCTCCACGACGCGAACTGGCTGAAGGCTGCTGCTGGGGCCGCGTGGGAGGGAAGGGAGCCGCAGGGGGGCGTCCTCGGCGGCGAGCGGGCAGAGGCGTCTGAGCCGACGACTGGGTGGAGGCAGCAGCTGGCCGTCTGGGCAGAAGTGTAAACCCGCCTCCGTCTGCTCCTAGGCGGTCGAGAAGTGCTGGGCAAAGTCCTGGACCGCACCGCTGAAACATTTAGATGATGCTCCTGGACCACAGTGGTGGGCATCACCTGACCAAGGGAGCGAGCGGCCGCTTCCGTCGCCCGTTTGAGAGCAAGGTCGGCGGCAGGCTCGCAGCTCGCTTGGTCCGTCCCCTCCTCGTGCACATTCCTGAGCAGCTAGCAGGTGCTCATCATATGCAGGGCGGAGGCTGCCTGTCCCGCGGCTCTACAGGATCGCGCCGCCATAGACGACGAGAACCTATAGGCTTTGGATGGGCATCTGGGAGCACCGCGGGAGGACGCGCTCTGCGGACGCAGCTGCATCGCAACAGAGCGCTCCACCGGGGGAGTCCCAGCGTACCCACAGGCAACCGCGTCGCCGAGGGGAGGAAAGGCGGGGAAACTGAAGCACGCTCTCGGGGGGACACCCAAGTGTGTGTCAGTTCCGCATGCAACTCGGGGAAAAAGGAAATTGGGGTTGGCTGTGGCCGAGAGGCGGCAGCGTTACCCAAAAACCAATTATCCAGCCCCGTGAGATCGGGACAGGGCGGAGTTCCACTCCCACCCGATGCTCACGGAGGCCCGAGATAGCATGGCCGTCATCGCGGGATCAGACATGGCGACGTTGACGCTCCCGAGGGAGGCAACGCAGCCGCATCCTCACTTCCGGAGGAGTCAAGCCCGCCTTGTGATGCTGCGATCGACATCGCATCATCCTCTGGAGCGCTGAACGAAACAGACGGTACCTGCAAAGAGGCAGACGCCTGAAGCGATACAGCGCTCACTGGCTCTAACACTGGAGTGGTGGGTGTGGCCCAAGGAACTAGCGTCGGGGGTTGTGCCACACAATCACCATCATATCACCCTGTCCGCGAGTCGAAGAGCTTCTAGAAGAAGAAGCAGAACGAGTAACGGACAAGGGGACTCTCACTTTATCAGCCTAGATCACAGTGTAGAGATGCTCATGTTCCCACAGAAGGAACATGAGTCATCCACGAATGCTGCTACTGCATGCTGAAAGCCCAGGCACACAGAGCAGCGATCGTGGCCATCAGAAAATGACATGAATCGATCGCACCCAGAAGAACACGGGCGAATCGTCTTTAAAAAGACGTGCGGGTGCAGCTCTTTCACTAGAGAGGAGGAAATTCACTCTTTCAGCGCTGAGGCGACCAGGGAGAAGCGCAAAGTCTGGCAGACCACTGCTCAGATCGCAGGCAATGCAGAGTCTCGCTGGGTACCGCCGTCACACCAACACTGAAGAGGACGCCAGTCTCGAAGAGTCTTGAATCAGTGAGAATGGCTTGAGGAGTGAAGAAATCTCTTGGCTCCAAAGCGAAAACATACTGCGGTTGCGTTCACTTCCTCCTTTTATAATCACGGAGTAGGGCGGAGTACGCTATGCAAATTTCCGCAGCCCCAAGGCATTGCATGCCATTGGCTCGTGATTAAATACTCGATGAGGATTGGCTTTCTATGCGAAACCCCCAATCTCCATCACTTCTGACGTAACTCGAAGTGACTACGAAAGGGAACTATATTTTAGATTATATTTGATCATTTTTTTTTAATTGTTTGTCATTTTTTGGCAATCTAGGGCGTGGCCTGTGTCCCACCCACCACTACCTTACAGGACACACCCTAGTCCTAACTCCAAGTTTACTTGGGGCGAACTGTCAGGTATTAGTTGCGCTTTGTCATTTGAAAATTTATTTGACTTTGTTTCATTACAAACAAAACTATATTTTGGATTTTATTTTACGATTTTTTTTAAATTGTTTGTCGTTTTTTGGCAATCTAGGGTGTGGCCTGTGTCCCACCCACCACTACCTTACAGGACACACCCTAGTCCTAACTCCAAGTTTACTTGGGGTGAACTGTCAGGTATTAGTTGATTCAAAGAGTGTTATTATCTGTAGAGGAATGGGGGAACACATGGGGCTTCAAAATCTCTCCTTCTAAGACTAAATATATAATATTTGGTTTTAAAAGAAAGTTACCAAAACTAGGGCTATATATGTATGGGTCTCCATTGGAGAAGGTAAAGGTTTTTACATTTTTAGGCGTTTGGTTTGAAGAACGTATGACTTGGGCTGTGCATGCAGATAAAATTGTGCTGAAGTGTGAAAAAGTTTTGAATGTAATGAGAAGTTTGACTGGGTGTGAGTGGGGGGCTAATAGAGAGACGATGCTGCTAATTTATCAGGCCATGATTAGATCTGCTCTAGATTATGGGTGCTTTGTGTATGGATCTGCTTCCAAAACTGTTCTATCTAGGTTAGATGGGGTGCAGGCAAGGGCTTTGAGGCTTTGCTGTGGGGCCGTTAGAACTTTCCCAGTTCCTGCACTACTCATTGAAATGGGAGAAATGCCCTTATGGTTAAGACGTATTAAATTAGGGTTGCAGTACTGGGTAAAACTTAGTGGGTGTAATCATACCTTCCCAGCAAGGTGTCTGTTACAAGAGGTTGCTGGAGCTCATAGATATAATACATTTTTTGTCATAGTAAATCAGTGGGCAGGGAAGATGAGTATGGATCAAGGAGGTATTTTAGAGCACACAAGCTGGTTACCAAAACCATATTGGATGTTGCCTGAAATTAATATTGAGTTGGGTTTTTTACAGGAAAAAGATAAGTGGAAAGTGGCACCAAAAATAGGGCAATATCTTAATTCAATTAGTCAGAGCACAATGATTATTTTTACAGATGGATCTCGAGATCCAGTTAGTGGGAGAGCTGGATTTGGGGTGTATGTGGAACAGTTAGGGTTGGAAATTAGTCGGCGTATTTCTAATGGAAGTTCTGTCCTCACTGCTGAATTAATGGCAATTCTATGGGCTCTATGGTGGATTGAGGAAGACAAACCTAGAGAAGTTATTATCTGCTCTGATTCTGTAGGTGCTCTAGATAATTTAAAAGTAGGAAAATCTAAATCTCGTCCTGACATTGTCAATGACATCCTGAATGTGGTTTTTAGTACTAGGTTTATTTGCAACATCAGTTTTTGCTGGGTCCCCGGGCATGCTGGGGTGAGTGGGAATGAACGAGTGGATAATATTGCAAAGGAGAGCTTAGGAAGAGAAGTAGATGTTCATGTATTATTAGGAAGAGTGGAATTAAGAGAAAAAATTAAAGAGAGATTAATAAAAGAATGGCAGAGAGGGTGGGAAAAGGAAATTAGGGGTAGACATTACTTTTCTATACAACCTGAAGTTAGGAAAAGATGCTCATGTAACTTTTTGTCCCGCAGGGACTCAATGTGCAGATTGAGATTAGGGCACTGTGGGTTGAATTATTCTTTGCACATTGTAGGGAAGCATGTTTCTGGCTTGTGTGAATGTGGGAGTCTTGAGACTGTAGGGCATGTTTTCCTGGAATGCAGAAAGTATAGGGTTGAAAGAAATGTTCTCTTTAGTAAACTGTCAGGACATGGAGTTAAGGCTTTTTCTGTTTTATTTTTGTTTGGACACAGTGACGAGCATAAACTGATCTCCAAAGCAGTTCTTCAATTCTTGCATGACACAGGATTGTATGTAAGAATTTAGTACAAACTTTGACCCGTGGAGGGCAGTAATACGCTCAGCAGCGTCTACACTGCTGGAACCATACAAGAAGAAGAAGAAGGTATTAGTTGCGCTTTGTCATTTGAAAATGTATTTGACTTTGTTTCATTACAAACAAAACTATATTTTGGATTTTATTTTACAAAATTTTTTTTAAATTGTTTGTCGTTTTTTGACAATCTAGGGTGTGGCCTGTGTCCCACCCACCACTACCTTACAGGACACACCCTAGTCCTAACTCCAAGTGTTTACGTGGGGTGAACTGCCAGCTTTGTCTAATTTTCTAACTTTCCAAGGTATACAATGCGCAGTGCGCTTTTTGTCCATTGCTAATTTCCCCGCACATAGTACAGCACTACAACATCCCTACTTACCTGAAATGAAATGACAGATTTTACCTAATTGTGAAGACGGATACAGGTTTTCTGGATGCAGACTAAGACAGACTGTGCCATGGGCAAATAATTGGTCGGTCCAACCCAGAGGACTGCACCAGAGCTAGGAGCCATTGCGACGAAAAGGCAAATTAACCACAGATTTTCTATTTTAAAACAATTATATCTGGGTATTAGTTGCGCTTTGTCATTTGAAAATGTGTTTGATTTTAATTACAAAAGTAACTATACCTAGACTTTTATTTCACCTTTTTTATATAGAATTGTTTGTCGATTTTTGGCAATCTAGGGTGTGGCCTGTGTCCCACCCACCACTACCTTACAGGACACACCCTAGTCCTAACTCCAAGTTTACTTGGGGTGAACTGTCAGGTATTAGTTGCGCTTTGTCATTTGAAAATGTATTTGACTTTGTTTCATTACCAAGAAAACTATATTTTGGATTTTATTTTACGATACTTTTTTAAATTGTTTGTCGTTTTTTGGCAATCTAGGGTGTGGCCTGTGTCCCACCCACTACTACCTTACAGGACACACCCTAGTCCTAACTCCAAGTGTTTACGTGGGGTGAACTGCAAGCTTTGTCTAATTTTCCAAGGTATACAATGCGCAGTGCGCTTTTTGTCCATTGCTAATTTCCCCGCACATAGTACAGCACTACAACTTCCCTACTTAGCTGAACTGAAATGGCAGCTTTTACCTAACTGTGAAGACGGATGCAGGTTTTCTGGATGCAGACTAAGACAGACTGTGCCATGGGCAAATAATTGGTCAGTTCAACCCAGAGGACTGCACCAGAGCTAGGAGCCATTGTGACGAAAAGGCAAATTAACCATAGATTTTCTATTTTAAAACAATTATATCTGGGTATTAGTTGCGCTTTGTCATTTGAAAATGTGTTTGACTTTGTTTAATTACAAACAAAACTATATTTTAGATTTTATTTGACCTTTTTTTTTTTAATCGTTTGTCATTTTTTGGCAATCTAGGGCGTGGCCTGTGTCCCACCCACCACTACCTTACAGGACACACCCTAGTCCTAACTCCAAGTGTTTACGTGAGATGAACTGCCAGCTTTGTCTAATTTTCTAACTTTCCAAGGCTGTCCAAGAGTCATCGCCGCTGTGGGGAATCCGCATTGCCATCGAGCATGGTGCGCGAGTCGCCGCCGCTCGCCGTGGGCCGGAGCCTGCTGCCGTCCGCCGCATAAGGGGAGGAGCAGGGAGCGGGGGACTCGCGGCCATGGACGCTCGAGGCGGGGCACTGGGGTGCGTTGCCGGTGGGACGGCCGAGCTCGCCGCCGACCGCCTGAGAATGGAGGGGCGGCTGCCTTCCGGAAGGGAGAGGAGGAGTCACCGCCGCTTGCCGTGGGCCGGAGCCTGCTGCCATCCGCCAGTTAAGGGGAGGAGCAGGGAGCGGGGGACTCCTGCCGTCTGCCCAAGGCACCCGAGGAGCCGTCGCCGTCCACCGGGGGCGGGGAGCGTCGAGGCGTCCACCGATGGCCATCCAGCGTCGCCTAATAATTGGTCAGTTCAACCCAGAGGACTGCACCAGAGCTAGGAGCCATTGCGACGAAAAGGCAAATTAACCACAGATTTTCTATTTTAAAACAATTATATCTGGGTATTAGTAGGGCGTTGTCATTTGAAAATGTGTTTGACTTTGTTTCATTACAAACAAAACTATATTTTAGATTTTATTTGATCTTTTTTTTTTAATTGTTTGTCATTTTTTGGCAATCTAGGGCGTGGCCTGTGTCCCACCCACCACTACCTTACAGGACACACCCTAGTCCTAACTCCAAGTGTTTACGTGGGGTGAACTGCCAGCTTTGTCTAATTTTCTAACTTTCCAAGGTATACAATGCGCAGTGCGCTTTTTGTCCATTGCTAATTTCCCCGCACATAGTACAGCACTACAACGGCCCTACTTAGCTGAACTCAAATGGCAGCTTTTACCTAACTGTGAAGACGGATACAGGTTTTCTGGATGCAGACTAAGACAGACTGTGCCATGGGCAAATAATTGGTCAGTTCAACCCAGAGGACTACAGCAGAGCTAGGAGCCATTGCGACGAAAAAGCAAATTAACCACAGATTTTCTATTTTAAAACAATTATATCTGGGTATTAGTTGCGCTTTGTCATTTGAAAATGTGTTTGACTTTGTTTAATTACAAACAAAACTATATTTTAGATTTTATTTGACCTTTTTTTTTTAATTGTTTGTCAATTTTTGGCAATCTAGGGTGTGGCCTGTGTCCCACCCACCACTACCCTAGAGGACACACCCTAGTCCTAACTCCAAGTTTACTTGGGGTGAACTGTCACGTATTAGTTGCGCTTTGTCATTTGAAAATGTGTTTGACTTTGTTTAATTACAAACAAAACTATATTTTAGATTTTATTTGACCTTTTTTTTTTAATTGTTTGTCAATTTTTGGCAATCTAGGGTGTGGCCTGTGTCCCACCCACCACTACCCTACAGGACACACCCTAGTCCTAACTCCAAGTTTACTTGGGGTGAACTGTCACGTATTAGTTGCGCTTTGTCATTTGAAAATGTGTTTGACTTTGTTTAATTACAAACAAAACTATATTTTAGATTTTATTTGACCTTTTTTTTTTAATTGTTTGTCAATTTTTGGCAATCTAGGGTGTGGCCTGTGTCCCACCCACCACTACCCTAGAGGACACACCCTAGTCCTAACTCCAAGTTTACTTGGGGTGAACTGTCACGTATTAGTTGCGCTTTGTCATTTGAAAATGTATTTGACTTTGTTTCATTACAAACAAAACTATATTTCGGATTTTATTTTACGATTTTTTTTTTAAAAATTGTTTGTCGTTTTTTTGGCAATCTAGGGTGTGACCTGTGTCCCACCCACCACTACCCTACAGGACACACCCTAGTCCTAACTCCAAGTTTACTTGGGGTGAACTGTCACGTATTAGTTGTGCTTTGTCATTTGAAAATGTGTTTGACTTTGTTTAATTACAAACAAAACTATATTTTGGATTTTATTTTACGATTTTTTTTAAAAATTGTTTGTCGTTTTTTTGGCAATCTAGGGTGTGGCCTGTGTCCCACCCACCACTACCCTACAGGACACACCCTAGTCCTAACTCCAAGTTTACTTGGGGTGAACTGTCAGGTATTAGTTGCGCTTTGTCATTTGCAAATGTATTTGACTTTGTTTCATTACAAACAAAAGTATATTTTGGATTTTATTTTGCAATTTTTTTTAAATTGTTTGTCGTTTTTTTGGCAATCTAGGGTGTGGCCTGTGTCCCACCCACCACTACCTTACAGGACACACCCTAGTCCTAACTCCAATTGTTTATGTGGGGTGAACTGCCAGCTTTGTCTAATTTTCTAACTTTCCAAGGTATACAATGCGCAGTACGCTTTTTGTCCATTGGTAATTTCCCTGCACATAGTGCAGCACTACAACTTCCCTACTTAGCTGAACTGAAATGGCAGCTTTTACCTAACTGTGAAGATGGATACAGGTTTTAAGGATGCAGACTAAGACAGACTGTGCCATGGGCAAATAATTGGTCAGTTCAACCCAGAGGACTACAGCAGAGCTAGGAGCCATTGCGACGAAAAAGCAAATTAACCACAGATTTTCCATTTTAAAACAATTATATCTGGGTATTAGTTGCGCTTTGTCATTTGAAAATGTGTTTGACTTTGTTTCATTACAAACAAAACTATATTTTGGATTTTATTTTACGATTTTTTTTTTAATTGTTTGTCGTTTTTTTGGCAATCTAGGGTGTGGCCTGTGTCCCACCCACCACTACCCTACAGGACAGACCCTAGTCCTAACTCCAAGTTTACTTGGGGTGAACTGTCACGTATTAGTTGCGCTTTGTCATTTGAAAATGTATTTGACTTTGTTTCATTACAAACAAAACTATATTTTGGATTTTATTTTACGATTTTTTTTTTTAATTGTTTGTCGTTTTTTTGGCAATCTAGGGTGTGGCCTGTGTCCCACCCACCACTACCCTACAGGACACACCCTAGTCCTAACTCCAAGTGTTTACGTGGGTTGAACTGCCAGTTTTGTCAAAGTTTTCAACTTTTCAAGGTATACAATGTGCAGTGCGCTTTTTGTCTATTGCTAATTTCCCCGCATATAGTACAGAACTACAACATCCCTACTTACCTGAACTGACATGACAGCTTTTACCTAATTGTGAAGAAGGATACAGGTTGCATATGCATACAACAAATGCAAAACATAACAAACACCAAATTACATTTTCATGAATAAAAGAAGTACAAAAGAAAACACAATAAGACTCTTAAGAAAAACAAGGACATGTCTCCATCACAACACTCTTTACAGTAGTTTTAAATTCATTCATGGATATAAGGGTTTCTAACCCTAGCTCTATACGCTGATTTCACACAGCCGCCATTTTGAAATGGCTCTGGTGGGAAGAAAACCGGAAGTGCCCGCTTTTATCATAGGAAAGTCGCGAATGCGATGGCGTATGTTTTGTGTTTAATGTAGAAATGAGTTATTCTAAAAATGTAGGCTACATATATTTCTTTCATACTTTAGACTATATACGAGTGAAATTAATTTATAAATATATATATTTTTATATATAATTCAGAACATAAAAAAGAAGAAGCTATATAACATATCCTATATTTGATTTTAAACATCCAATTTAGTCAATCGCAGCAACAGCTTCAGGTAGTCCAAGGCATCTTTGTCTATCTGTACTTCCGGGGTTCTCCCACCGGGGCCTCGCTTTTGATTTCAAAATGGCAGCTGCGGAAAAATCCGCGTAATATATCCGATTGATGTGGTCAATGCTAGTCCAGCAAACAAAAATGATTATTAGGGTCCATGTCAATAGCAGCTAATGTGTTCAAAATGTATTGTTGTTTACATTATATTTACATATAAATGTGTTTTTCAAATGTAAAGGTACACACCAATGTAACGTTTGTTGCTCCAGTGGTTATTAAACAAAAATCGCAAAGTGTCTTGTGGAAGAACTTAATGGCTGGAGCTACT